GGGGGGGGAGGAGGATGGGGGGGAAGAGGATTGGGTGGGGGGGCAGGGGGAGGATGGGAAGGGATGGGAAGAGAAAACAAAGGAGGAGGCTACAATGCTTGATAAGAAATGTACTCATTATCTTGCCGATGTAATTGTGACCCCTCTGTACAGTATTTTCACAATAATAAAAAAAAATTTCCATCTTACTCATCCAGAGCCATTATCTAAGGGCTAGGAGTTGTTAAATGGCATGATAACATGCCTTCTCCCAGGTCAGAAAATATAAAGGATACAAGTGAGATCTTTGAAATCAGATTTTGAGTCATTAATTCACATTTCCCTTGTGGAAAGCAGGAAATGTTTCTCTCCTTCTTATACTAAAATAAATTCCAAAGCATTCAACTTGGAAAAAAAAAAAGTCTCACAGACTTTCCTGCTCGGGCTGGCTTTGAACCGTGATCCTCAGATCTCAGCCTCCTGAGTAGCTAGGATTACAGGCTTGAGCCACCGGCTCTTGCATTCCATGAGATTCTTATCTCCAATTAACCACCAGAAAACTGGAAGTGGCGCTGTGACTCAAGTGGTAGAGCACTCACCTTGAGTTGAAGAGCTGAGGGACAGCACCCAGGCCCAGAGTTTAAGCTCCACAATCAACCAAAAAAAATCTACTTGGGGGCTGAGAATATGACTTAATGGTAGAGTGCTTGCCTAGCATGCATGAAGCCCTGGGTTCATTTCCTCAATATCATATAAACAGAAAAGGCCAGATGTGGTGCTGTAGCTCAAGTGGTAGAGCACTAGCCCTGAGTACAGAAAGGCTCAGAGACAGAGCCCAGGCCCTGAGTTCAAACCCCAGGACCAGGAAAAAAAATCTACTTGTATGTAATGGCCTATGCCTGTAATCCCAGCACTTTGGAAGCTGAGGCAAGAGGATCACAAGTTCCAGAGGCTACATGATGAGACCTTGTTTAAAAACAAAAAAGAGGGAGAAGGGAGATGTGGGGAGCATAGCTCAAGTGGTAGAACACCTGCTTAGCAAGTATAAGGCTGTGATTTCAAACAGTACTATTAAAAAAGGAAAAAGAAGAGAATGGAAGTGGAAAGGATTGAACTGAGGATCTGGCACATTCTAGGTAGGCACTCTAACAGTGAGCTAATGCACTATTATTTACTTATTTATTGTTTTGCAGGTACTGGGGCTTGAAACTCTTACATGACTTTCACATGCACAGCTATTACTTGAACATGCCTCTAGCTCCCCTTTTACTTTCCTACCTTCTTTCTTTCCTTTCTTCCTTCCTCCCTCCTGCCCTTCCTATCTTCCTTCCTTCTTTTCCTTCCTTCTTCACTTTTTCCCTCCCTCCCTCTTCTCTTTTCTTTCCTTTTTTCTTTTCCTTCCTTTCTTTTCCCTTTCCTTCTTTTCTCTTTTTTTCTTTCTTTTTCCTTCCTTTTCCTTCCTTCCCTCCTTTCCTTCCTTCCTTTCTTTCTTTTTTTTTTGGGTCCAGTCGTGGGGCCTGAACTCTGGGCCTGGGTGCTGTCCCTCAGCTCTTCAGCTCAAGGCTAGTGCTCTACCACTTGAGCCACAGCGTCACTTCCGGCTTTTTTCTTTTGCTTATGTGGTGCTAAGGAATTGAACCCAGGGCCTCAGGCATGCAAGGCAAGCGCTCTATCACTGAGCCACCTTCCCAGCTCCTCCATGAAATTTTTTATTAACCAGCAAAAAGCTGGAAGTAGAGGTGTGGCTCAAGTGGCTGAACACTAGACTTAAATGAAAATCCAAGTGAGAATAAGAGGTCCTGAGTTAGACCCCTAATACCAGCACACACACACACACACACACACTCAAAATATTTAGTTTTCACTGGGCACTGGTGGTTCACACCTGTAATCCTAGCTACTCAGGAGGCTGAGATCTGAGGATTACAGTTCAAAACCATCGGGGGCAGGAAAACCTGTGAGACTCATCTCCAATTAACCACCTGAAAACCAGAAGTGGAGCTGTGGCTCAATGTGGTAGAGCACTAGTCTTGAACAATAAAGCTCAGAAACACCACCCAGGCTCTGAATTCAAGCCTCACAACTGACCAAAAATAAAATAGATTTAGTCCTGGGCTCAAGCAGTAGATAGTAGGTAAGTATGAAGCTCTGAGTTGAAGCCTCAGTACCAAAATCGTAAACAAAAAATTTTAAACCACCAAAATGGTGGGTTTTGTTTGAGACAAGCTCTTGCTATGTAGCCCAGGTTGGCCTCAAATTCCAAATCCTCCAGCCTCAGGTTCCAGGGTTTTAGGATTACAAGTCTATACCACCATGTTTAGCTTTATTCTTTTAAAAAATAGTTATAAAGTTTGAACTCAGGATCTCTAAACGTTTATAATAATTGACACAATAGCCTGAATAGCTTAGATAATCCAGTAAGTGAACTGTGCATGAGAATATTACACAGAAATCAGAAAGAATGAGACAGATTCAGATGCACTTAACAATCGAATTGATTTGGTAAAGGAGTCAAGGACAACAAGAATCTCTATACTATGGCTGATTTTTTTTGTAAATGTAAAATAACTCCTGGCAAAACACAAATAAATGGTTACTTACCTCTCTCTAGACAAGGATGGGTGAGAGCAGGGGAAAGAACAGGCTGCTGCTTCTCTATTCTTTTGAAGTGTGACAAAAGTTAACTATAGAGCTGGGAATATGGCTTAGTGGTATAGAGTGCTTGCCTAGCATGCATGAAGCCCTGGGTTCAATTGTTCAGTACCACATAAACAGAAAAAGCCAGAATTGGCATTGTGGCTCAAGTGGTAGCATGCAAGCCTTGAACAAAAGAAGCTCAGGGACAGTGCCCAGACCCCGGGACTGACACCAAAAAAATATTTTTTTTTAAATAACACAAGTTTAGAAAGTAAAGATAAATTTAAGGCTTAACACTATGGATCTAAATGAGTAGGCACATTTATATTAACATAAAAAGGAGGACAAACAAAAATATTGGTCATACCCAAAAGTTACCTGAACAATGGTGAATCCAGATCTGAGAATAATATCTTGTATCTCCTCCTCTTTGTCAACAATATCTGGTTTGATGATGGCCAGAGTTTTTTCTACATATATTTGAGGTGGGGGCATTGATAACTCCATTTTGGCTTTTCTGGTACAATTTAAGTTTCTTGACAGGTATCACTGCAATGACATGGGTTTCCACCATCCCAAATTCAATGTAATTGTGATTAAATGCTAGTATTGATTGGTTTTATTTATAGAAAAAAATATAGACAACAGATACAGATCAATCTATATGGATATATGCTTTCACCGAGGCAAGGAGGTATGAAAGTCTGAGACAACTGTAACAATTCTAGCCACTACAGTGCTGGCAGGTGTGGGGTGGGGAAGATAGGGAGTTGGGGGAAGGGAAAAGGGGGGGCGTGACCCAGCAGGCTGCTTTAGTAAAAATCCTCAGCCCTAGAGATTACTTTTGTAAAGGTAAGGCATAACTAGAAGGCAGGATTAGCACTCCCTAGTCTGGACCCTCTGAATACAAACTCACCAAGGTGCAACCAGCCCTCCAGTGTGTTCACAATCTGTTGCTAGGAGATTGGAAACCCATTTCCTACGGTGGCTGCACAGGGCCAATCCTAGTAAGACTTTTTGCAATCTCTAGCCTAGCTGTTTAAACCAAAGCAGGAAGTCACCACAAGCTGTTTTTTATTATCTTGTGAAAGCCCCAGACATTTTCCAACAGATTCCTCATAATTTTATCTTCTTTCATTTGAAGAATACTTGAATTATCATCATTTGGATAAGACAAATTGTAGCCGTCTCCTTCACTTCAACCTATCATCTTCCAGATAATACATGAAAAATGACTTGTCAAATTTCATGCTTGTTTTACCACATGATTCTGTCCCTTTAGTCCCAGCTTCTGTAATCAGTAAAAAGCAATCTTTGCAGATCCTGGTGACATACTTCTGTAGCCTCTAATTCCCAGCATGCCAATATAGTGAGACTGTCTCAAACAAACAAAAAGGCAATATTGTTTGTAAAATATTTATTTATAGAGCAGAAGTAAAAGATTCATTCTATTGGCAAGCATCTTTGAGTACTTGGTTATGAGGTAAGTCTTTACTTTTAATTGAAAAGTAAAGAGAGGTGGTAAGCAAGCCCTGGGATCTTCTCTGGTTATCCTCAAAAGGTCTAAACTTGAGAAAGGGTCAGAGTAGTAGTTCCAGGTTAAAAACAAAACAGGCTTCCATCATCCACTAGGGTAGCTTGATACTCATTCCAGACTACTTAAGTCTCTTCTTTTGTCCAACCAAATACTCAGCACCTACAGGAGAAAGTCACAGATAGTAGGCTGTGAATTTTAAATGCTACAGGGTTGAATGTAAATTTGTGTGTGTGTTTGTGTGCGTGTGTGTGTGTGTGCGTTGCGTGAGTGTATGTGTGTGTGATGGTCCTGGGGCTTGAATTCAGGGTCTCAACACTGTCCTGAACTTATTTTTTAACTCGACAGTAGCACTCAACCCCTTGAGCCATAGTTCTACTTACAGCTTTTTGGTGGTTAATTGGAGATAAGAGTCTCACAGACTTTCCTGCCTGGGCTGGCTTCAAACTACAATCCTCAGATCTCAGCCTCTTGAGTAGCTAGGATTACAGACTTGAGCCACCAGCACTAGGCTAGAAAGCAAGAAAGTATGCTTTCTCTTCTGTTTTATCCAGAAAATAAAAACTTAGATTTTTGAAGCTACTATATCTTACCCCTAAAAATAGGAAAGTGTGAACATACATTAGTATGAACAGATGTAGCAACCAAAAAAGAGTGACTCCAGTCCCTGGTGTGTAATTTTAGCCTTCCAGCTTGAAGCTTTGAAAGTAGGTCCTGGGCTGGGAAGTTGGCTCAGTGGTAGAGCGCTTGCTTTGCATGCCTGAGGCCCTGGGTTCAATTCCTCAGCACCACATAAGCAAAAAGAAAAAAAGCCAGAAGTGGCGCTGTGGCTCAAGTGGTAGAGCGCTCGCCTTGAGCTGAAGAGCTGAGGGACAGCGCCCAGGCCCAGAGTTCAGGCCCCACGACCGGACCCCGCCAAAAAAAAAAAAAAAAAAAGATGAAAGTAGGTCCTCTTGTACATCTCAACTCCCTTGCTACCTGCCTTCCTAGTCACCTCATTATGTATTAAACCTGGACTTACTAAGACTTGGAAATTTCCAATCCCCAAAATACTATATCAATCATTAATATTTTTCAATCTTGTCAAAAGACTAAACTCTGGTACCAGATGCCAGTGGCTTATGCCTGTAATTCTAGCTACTTGGGAGGTTTGAAGCTAGCAACAGACAAATCCAAGAGACTCTTAGCTCCCTTTCCCAGGAAAAAGTAGGAAGTAGAGGCATGGTTCAAGTGTACAGTACCAGCCTTGAGCAGAAAAAGCTATAAGCAAGAATGTGAGGCCCTGAGTTCAAGTTCCAGCACTGACACACACACATGCGTGTGCACACAAACACACAAAGATTAAACTCTGGGATAAAAATGTCATTGCAGAAGGAGAGAGCATGTGACACAGCCAGTATGGTGGAGCCCTAGGATTATCCTGTTTACAAATAAATCACTTGAGTTTTAAAAAAATGTCATTGCAACATCACCTTTATTCTTTTCAAAATCAGATTCCAGATACACCCCTTCTTCTTGCAGAAATCTCTATATATGTAGTACCTGAATCTGCTCCAACACTTCTCTCTGCATCTCCACAGCCATATGGTACACATGATGATCAGAGTCATTGTACATAACAGCATTTTGGAACATCAGCATCAGGTCCCGCTGGAACTGGGGCATGGTACGAATCCGTCCCTTAGACAGATTTCTCTTCAGGCTAGTTAAGTCCATGGGTCTGCAGATGGCCAAGTAGGGACAGTTCCACTATTATTTCCAACTAGCAGATGAAATAACTAAGATCTAAAGAGTTTAAGTACATGCCCAAAATTATACTGCCTAGATTCTAATTTGGAAGCAGTCTGACTCTAGAGCTCACAGACTTACTATCATAGGAGGGAATAAGTGCTGGCCTCAAGTATCAAAGCAGCACCAATGAACAGTTTATATCACAGTAATTATTGGCTGTTTGTTTTTGTAAAGTTTAGCAAGTATTTATTTACTTAAGTGAAATAGGGCTAAAGCATGGAGAAATGGAGAAAAAGAACCATTTCCTGCTCTCTAGATGGAAAACTATTACTTCTTTTCATGGAGATAGAAAAGTAAAAATCAGGGGCTGGAAAGGTAGCTCAGTGGTACTTGTATGCATGAGGCCCTGGGTTCGATTCCTCAGCATCACATAAGCAGAAAAAGCCGGAAGTGGTGCTGTGGCTCAAGTGGTAGAATGCTAGCCTTGAGCTGAAGAGCTGAGGGACAGCGCCCAGGCCCAGAGTTCAGGCCCCACAACTGACCAAAAAAAAAAAAAAAAGTAAAATCAACTGAATATTAAGATAATTATTTAATGAGACATAAAAAATAAGTGTTGGGAGCCGGGCGCTGGTGGCTCACGCCTGTAATCCTAGCTACTCAGGAGGCTGAGATCTGAGGATCACAGTTCAAAGCCAGCCCGGGCAGGAGAGACTGTGAGACTCCTATCTCCAATAAACCACCAGAAAACCGGAAGTGGTGCTGTAGCTCAAGTGGTAGAGTGCTCGCATTGAGCTGAAGAGCTGAGGGACAGCGCCCAGGCCCAGAGTTCAAGCCCCAAGACCGAAAAAAAAAAAGTAAGTGTTGGGGCTGTGGATCAGAAGGCACAGCAATAAGCCAGAAGCCAATGGCTATAATTCTAGCTACTCAGGAGGCTAAGACTGAAAATAATAGTTGGAAGCCAGCCTAAGCAGAAAAGTCTGTGAGACTTTTTTTTTTTGTCGGCCGTGGGGCTTGAACTCTGGGCCTGGGCGCTGTCCCTCAGCTCTTCAGCTCAAGGCGAGCGCTCCACCACTTGAGCTACAGCGCTACTTCCTGTGAGACTCTCTTATCTCAAGTTAACAAGCAAAATGCCAGAGTGGCGCTGTGGCTCAAGTGGAAGAGCATTAGCCTTGGGTAAAAAAGCTAAGCAAGAGTATGAGGCCCTGATTTCAAGCCCCACTACTAGCACACCCATACACAGACACATACACACAAAGGCACAGCAGTGTAGAAAGAGGACTGAGCTAGAAGTAAGAATCTGGGTTCATGACTACCCTAAACCTTACTTTGCTCATTTATAGACTGAAGGAATTTGTCTTTCTCTTGAATGATGGATCTCTTCCTGAAACAACCCCAATGCAAAGAATATTAAGAAGTGTGGACTTTTTGGAGGAGAATTAAGTCATAGGGGCTCTACTCTCATAAAAGGATTAATAAGAATTGGAGATTGCAGTCTTGCCCCTCTATCCCTTCCCTGCTGAAGGACAAGCATTTATCCCTCTGGTAGTGCAGCAAAGACATGAGCATGGAAGCAGAGAACAGCTCTTACAAGACATTATTTCCCTGATAGTTATTTTGAGCTTTGATTTCCCTTCCTTCAAATCCATGAAAAATATTTAGCTATGCTGGCACAGGTAGTTCATGCCTGCAATCCTAGCTACTCGGAAGGCTGAGATCTGAGGCCAACTCAGACACAAAAGTCAGTCAGACTTTTGTCCTTATCCCTAATCAATCACAAAAATGCTGGAAATGGAGCTGATGGTAGAGTGTTAGCCTTTGGGCAGAAAAGCTAAGGAACAGCATCTAGGCTGAATTCAAGCCCCAGTACTAACACACTAACACACACACACACACACACACAGAGAGAGAGAGAGAGAGAGAGAGAGAGAGAGAAGCAGGCATGGGAATATATATAATACCTGTAATCACAGTACTGAAGATCACAAGTTTGAGGCCAACCGGGGCTACCTTAGTGAAACTGTCAAAATCAAACAACAACAAAAACAAAATATCTATCAAAGGTTAATATGAGAGACTAAAATGCAGGCATGGTGGTCACAGCTGTAGTCCATGTACTCAGGAAGTTCACTTGAGCCCAGGCAACATAGTAAAGCCCCTTCTCAATTAAAAAAAAAAAAGTATTAGTCCAGGCACCAGTGACTCATGCCTGTAATGCTAGCTACTCAAGAGGCTGAGATCTGAGGATCACAGTTAGCAGCCAGCCAGAGCAGGAAAGTCCATGAGACTCTTCTCACCTATTAACAACCAAAAAGTGGGAAGTGGAGTTGTGGTTCAAGTGGCAGTGTGCCATCCTTGAATGAAAAAGTTACGGGACAACATCCAGGCCCTGAGTTCAAACTCCAGGACGAGTACCATCCCTGCCCCATCACTCCCTGGAAAAAAAAAAAGACTGAAATGAATATTCTTCCTCTTCTTCTTCTTTTTTTTTGGGGGGGGGTCCGGTCACGGGGCCTGAACTCTGGGCCTGGGCGCTGTCCCTCAGCTCTTCAGCTCAAGGCTAGCACTCTATCACTTGAGCCACAGTGCCACTTCCAGCTTTTTTTCTTTTGCTTATGTGGGGCTGAGGCATCGAACCCAGGGCCTCAGGCATGCAAGGTAAGCGCTCTACCACTGAGCCACCTTCCCAGCCCCACCCCTTTTTTTTTGCCAGTCCTGGGGCTTGAACTCAGGGGCTGAGCACTGTCCCTGAGCTGCTTTCGCTCAAGGCTAGCACTCTACAAATTGAGCCACAGTGTCACTTCCAGCCTTTTCTGTTGCACTAAGGAATAGTATCCAGGGTTTCATGCATGTTAGACAAGCATTCTACCACCAAGCCACATTCCCAGTCCTAAATATACTTTCTTTTTCTTCTTTCTTCTTCTTCTTCTTTTTTTTTTTTGTCAGTCGTGAGGCTTGAACTCTGGGTCTGGGCACTGTCCCTCAGCTCTTCAGCTCAAGGCTAGCACTCTACCACTTAAGCCATAGCACCACTTCTAGGTTTCTGATAGTTAATTGGAGATAGAGTCTCAGGGACTTTCCTGGATGGTTTTGAACTGAGATCCTCAGATCTCAGCCTCCTGAGTAGCTAGGATTACAGGCATGAGGCACCAGCTCCCAGCTTGAATATACCTTCTTTAAAGGCAAATGTTGAACAAAAGATAAATATCCTTTTATTCCCTGAATTACTTCTCAAATGAAGACTAATTCACCATAACTTTATAAACTAGGTCATCTGTAAAATACATTTTTAAAATAAAATAATCTGACAAGTGAAAAAATGATAGAATGATAGGTTTTTTTTAATCAACTTTTAAAAAACCTAGTTAATGTTATTTTGTGTGTGTGTGTGTGTGTGTGTGTGTGTGTGTGTGTGTGTATGTTTATGGTGCTAGGGATTGAACCCAGGTTCTCACATATGCTAGGCAAAACACTCTACCAACTATGTTAAATCCACAGCCCTCAACCAACTTTTCTTGATCCTTTTCCACTGACCTTTTTACCACATCCTTGTATCCTGGGGCCTGCCTTTCTGACACAGGCTTTAGAAATGGACTGCTGAACCTGTTAAGGAACAAATCCAGAGAAGAAAAGGAACCATATTAAGTTACATTGCATGAGAAGAGTGGCTATGAACAAGATTTTCTAAAACTACAGTATGGCTCAGGTTTTTCTTAGGCAAATGCATACTGTGAACACTACTGACAAAAAAAAAACTATTATTTTACACTTGCCAAACAGAAATAACACCAAAAAAATTATTTAACCATTATTATAATCTATTTACTTAGGTTCAGAAATTTGTTCACAGTTCCTGAGGCCTCTCTGTGAAAAAAGAGAATTTACCATACTGGAAAGACACGTGCGTGCGTGCGTGTGTGTGTGTGTGTGTGTGTGTACATGTGTATATGTGCGCGCATGCACGCATGTGCACCCACATGTGCCAGTCCTGGGACTTGAACTCAGGGCTTACGTGCTGTCTGTAAGCTCCTTTGGCTCAAGGCTAGCACCTACCACTTGAATCAAAACTCCACTTCCAGCTTTTTGGTAATTTTTTGGGGATACAAGTCTCTTTCTTGCCTGGCTGGCTTCAATTCTCAGATCTCAGCTTCCTGAGTAGCTAGGATTACAGGCATGAGCCACCAGCATCTGGCTCCAGGCCAGGTTTGTTTGTTTTCCCCCAGCCCCTCTCATCCTGGGACTTGAACTTAGCTTCTTAGTACCCAAGGTAAGAGCTCTACAGCTTGAGCCACAGTGCCACTTCCAGCTTTTTCTGAGTAATTTATTGGAAATAAGAGTCTCACAGCCAGGTGCGGTGGCTCATGCCTGTAATCCTAGCTACTAAGGAGGCTGACATCTGAGGATCGTGGTTCAAAGTCAGCCCAGGCAGGAAAGGCTGTGAGACTCTTATCTCCAATAAACCACTCAGAAAACTGGAGGTGGCACTGTGGTTCAAGTGGTACAGTGCTAGCCTTAAGCTAAAAAGCTGAAGGACAGAGCCCAGGCCCAGAGTTCAAGCCCCATGACTGACAGGAAAAAAAAAAAAAAAAAGAGTCTTACAGACTTTTCCTGCCTGGGCTGGCTTTGAACCTTGAACCTCAGATCTCAGCCTCTTGAGTAGCTAGAATTACAGGTGTAAGCTACCAGTGCCTAGCTTCCAGGCTAGTTTAAACCAAGATCCTAATATCTGAGCATCTTGAGCAGCTATGTTGACAGGCTTTAGCTATCAACACCTGGCTAAATGATTTCTTGTACAGACTAGTGAAAGCAGCTATGGCGGTACTATGGCTCACTAGAGGAATAAAACAAATATATCTCCTTTCATGCTTAAGTTCTAATTCTTTATTGCTTCCGTTCTGAACACAATCCTATTACTACTTTGGAGACTTACCTGTGACTGGCAATCATTTTCCAAACTGGCAAAAGAGTCTTCTTAAATAGCAAATGATTCTGAACAGGGTCATCTGGGCTTAGATCAGTCCTTCAGCATACACCATGCCAGAGAAGAAAAAGTAACCTCACAATTATTCTCTCTCTCAAAGGGAATGAGATTTTTCTCAAGGCATAGTATACCTAATTAATATAACAGCATAGGAATATATTTAATGTTTCTATAAGGGCCTATAAACTCATATATTCTTCTACTTATCATTATCACTGAAATGGTTACCTCCTTATAAAGTATGCTATAATTCTACAATTGGTGGTGCTTTTTTACTCTTACTGATTTGCTTTTCAGCATCTTTGACTCGAAAGAATTTGTCTATAAAAGCAGTTTCTGTTCAATAATGATTCCAAACAGTCTATAAGAGACCCTGGCACATAGTTTGTGCTCAGTAAGTAACTTAGTTGAAAAATTAATCTCATCCTGTTTTAATCCAGAGAAGGAAATGCTTGCTTTCATAGATCAAAGAATTCCCGTTTTATCTGAGTGCTAAATAATTTAAATATTCTTCCTTTTCACTCTCCCTGGTCTAGTTTTTATTTTTTGTTTTTAATGCCAGTGCTGTACTGAACTCAGGGCTGGGCCACTATACCTTATCTTTATTCTCTTAAGGCTAGTGGTCTACCATTTAGCCACGGTTCTACTGTACTTGGAGCTTTTTGGTGGTTAATTGGAGATAAGAGTCTCATGGTCAGGTACCTGTAGCTCATACATAAATCCTAGCTACTCAGGAGGCTGAGATTTGAGGATCTTGGTTTGAAGACAGCTCAGACAAGAAAATCTGTGCAATTCCAATGAACTCCAAATCTCCAATTAACTACCAAAAAAGATATTAGTGGTTCAAGTGGTAGGCAGAACACTAGCTTTGAGCAAAAAAACTCAGGAATAACACCCAGGCTCAGAGTACGAGCTCTAGGACAGGCACAGACAAAAGTCACTAACTGTCTCACAGACTGTCCTACTAGACTTTGAACCTTAATCCTCTGTTCTCACTAAGATTACAAGCATGAGCCATCAGCACCTGGTTCATGAATATCTATTAAAAGTATTTTTTTTTAGGTCCAGTCATGGGGCCTGAACTCTGGATCTGGGTGCTGTCCCTTAGCTCTTCAGCTCAAGGCTAGCGCTCTACAACTTGAGCCACAGCGCCACTTCTGGCTTTTTTCTTTTTTGATTATGTGGTACTGAGGAATCGAACCCAGGGCCTCATGCATGCAAGGCAAGTGCTCTACC